AATGGGTTATAATAGGAGGAGACTGTGGCTTTATAAGGAGAAGAAGACAACATGTGAGCATACTCTTGCCCTCTCGCCATGTGATGTCTTGTGCCACCCAGGACTCTGCAGAGTGCCTACCAGTAAGAAAACCCTCGTCCAATGTGCCTGCTGGAACTTGGACATCTCAAACTTTGGAACTTTGAGAAATAAAAGTATTTTCTTTATAAATTACCCAGTGTCAGGTACTCTGTTGTCAGTGACAGAAAGTACACTAAGACAGCACGTCTGATTCCCTTACGACAGTTCCGGTTCACACGGAGCTGAGGCACAAACATACCTCAAGGTCAATTCAGGTGAACAGTCTGGAGGGGCTGCCCAGGCAGAGGAGAGAAATGCCATCAGTGACAGGGACAATGAGGGACACAGAAGAAAAAGTCCACACAGACAGATCACAAACAAATGTGAAGTCAAAGTATGGGGGTGGAGGGTAAAAACAAGTGAGGGGGGGATAAGGGAGACCAAGGGGGCAGTCCGAGACCTGAGGTTGTGCCCCTAACAGAATACGTCTGATGGGTGTGTGGGGGGAACGTTGTCCCAGGTCTGTTCCTTCACGGACTCTACTGACACTGCATTCTTCCAGACATGAGTCATGGGGGGGTTTCCTTGCCTTGCTCCTCCCCCACAATTGTCACAAGTGTTAGACTTTCTAGAGCCTCTTGCTATTTCCTCTCTGGGGAAAACACACCCTAAAAGCTGCCTTGTTAATCTTAAGGAGCAGTTCTGATGTCTGTTTCGGACTTGTTCTCAAGGTCCTTCTGTGGTCTGAGATGTGCTCTTAGTTTTTCTGGTCTTTTTGTCTGTTTGTTTGTTCTTTAGGTATAAGAAGACTCCTGGATTATGAATCAAGCCATCAGGCTTCTTGCTCAGGGCCAGCCATTAGACAGCTTCATAGTCCTGGACGTCTGACTTCCCATCTTCTCTAAACATGTTTACTATCCTTGAAATTAAAGGGTTAAATTAAATGACCTCTCAGTGACCACAGAACAGTGGCCCAGTGCTGGCCAAGTGCAGCCTCACAGATGAGCACAAGACACTCACCTGGGGACAGTCAGCAGAACCCAGGGGCCCAATCTCTGCTACTGCTGCTGCCCTTGAGGCTTGCTCGCCCCCTGCCCAGCCCCTCCACTGTTTGAACATTCTCTGTCTCACACTGTTTATCCAAAACAAAGACAGTAAGTGTTCCTTCACAATCTAGCTTATGAGAAGTAAGTATGTTAATACATGTATAAAGTGCTGAGAACAGAGCTTGGCACACAGCAAGTACTGTATTTAATTAAGCTGTGGATGATGAGTACTATCATTACCCACAATGTTGGTTTTAATCAAAACCACATGCTCCAGGCCAACAATAGTATAACCTGGTCTCTCTACACCATTAGAGCCTCCCTGGGGGTGTGGTGAGGGGAAGGCAGTGAGATCTCATGTCTCCCTTGTGCTACTTCCTGATATTTAGGTCCTGGTGTCACCTCTTTTACAAGACTTTGGGCTTCCAGGGAGTAGGATTCACACAAAAGTCACACTGCCCCACCCCAACGCCCATCACCACACAGACTTTCTCAGAGTGGGGGGTTCATCATCTAGTGATGGGTGAATAGCTGCACCCCTCCCCCAGGACACGCATGAGGTGATCCTGGTGGTGGCCTCAGTTCCTGCCTAAGGACAGGCTCCAGGCTGCAGCACAGGGAGGAGGGGACCCTGGAGAGCTCTGTGGACTCTGCGCAGATAATCACAGTGCAGGGCAGAGGCCTGGAGAAAGGGCTGCACAGAGGACTCTCGAGTCCTGCAGTGGGCACGGCCAGCATCTGCTGATTCTGACTGTGCGTGCCTGAGAGGAAGCCACCGGGTGAGGACAGACCATCAGACATCAGCAGAGGGACAAGGACTGAAGACTACCCAGGGCAGGTAACTGTTCATGTTCCCATTCCCACGGTGGGCAGAACTCATCACAGGGGTGCTGGCTGGTCATCAGAAGTCAACCACTGTGCCCTTAGTAGTTAACCAAAATAGTTCCAGAATAAAGTGACTGTAGACTGGGCATAAAATTAAAAAGCCAGTATCAGAGGATCAAACTCATGCTCCTATTTATTAATTGAGCATCAGAACAATATCCACATTATAAAGGAGCACATCAAAATCCAATATATGATAATTTAAAATTCAGGGTTATCGTCTAATAAAAAATTACTAGGCATGAAAAGAATCAGGAAAATATCCTCATGACCAAAGATAATAATCAATCAATGGTAACAATCCAGAAAGTGACAGAGGTAATGAAATTAATAAACAAAAGACATTAGAACAGCTGTTGTAAATGTTATAAATATCAAGGGTGTAAAAAAACATAAACGTCTTCAGTAGAGAAATGAAAGATATTAAAAAGACCCAAATGCAAATTCTAGAGATTAAAAATACCACATCCGAAATGCAAAATGCACTGGATAGGATCAATGGCAGATTAGCTGCTGCAGATGGTCAATGAACATGAACACAGAGAAATAGGAGTATTCTAAAATGAAACAGAAAACAGTTGAAAAAATGAACATTCTCAGTTCTGGAGCAATATCAAGTGTTCTCACACAAGTGGCCCAAGAACAGGGACTGAGGACCTCTTTGGAGAGGCAGGGTGACCAGCCCTCTATAGCCACATGGATTAAGATATTCCCGGTTCACTTCAAACTGCACCCCGGGCAAGGCACCCACCAGAGGACAACTGAAAGTGTGTTAGCCATGCCTGGCCTGAGACCTGCAATGCTATTGCTGTTGTCACTTGCAACCGGGCTCCTCTGCAGTCCTCAGGACCACCCAACACAGCTCTCCACCTTGCTCTGAGGGTGAGAAGCTCCTGTCTCACCCTCAGCACACCCATACCAAGGTGCCAGTGCAAACAGATGCAGGCACTAGTGGGCACAGAATGTGTGCCCTGTGGTCCTCCAGCTCCAGAGTAACTGCCACCAACACTGAGGATGTGATTTGTCCTCCCACATGACCTCTCACATCTGCCACTACAGCTCCCTGTGGTTTACAAAGGGTGGCTGCAGACTTTTATCTCCTCACCATTTCAAACAGTGAGAAGCTGGGGCCACACCAGGGACACGAAGGAGCAGAGCAGGGCCAGAGTCTCCAGCGTCCAGTCTCAGGACCCTTCGACAGTTGGGACAACTGAGTTCTGAGCCTTCAGAATTTCCTAATTCCTACTGTGATAAAAGAGGGGCCCAGGGTGGACAGACCTAGAACAGAAATTGGAGCATCCCAGCGTTTACAGAGCAAGGACCTGGGGTCAGGATCTGAGCTCACCACCAGGCCTCACCTGATGTGATCCTAACAGTCCGAGCACACACACCCCATCTCCATCCAGGGCGTGTCCAGGTGGCCATAACTGGCCCCAGCTGACCAGTTTTCAGGTACAGAGCTAGGGTTTCAGTCTCCCCTGTCACAGTCCTCTGTGTCTAATCTGGGGTTTCCAGGTCTTCTGCTCTTATTCTTATAAATCTCATGGATCCTTGAAACTGTAATAGCACCAAGGAATCAAAAACACAACTCTGTGGTGTACAACTGTTTACCTCTTACTTCAGCAAAGTTCCGATACCCAATGTAGCAAGAGTGTAGGGACAAAGGCAAATTTGCGGACTCTTGGTGTGAGTGAACAATGGTACAACATTCTTTTGGAGGAAAATCTGTCAACATCTAAACAGAATTCTAAAATCATTTACCTCAAGGGCCCAACAACTCCACTTATAAGGAGCTGCCCAGTATGCAAGTGCGCATAGATACATGCACATATGATACTAACAGGGGTACTTATTACAATTCTGTTGGAATTACCAAAATCAAAAATAAGACACAATCTAAACTGCTATCCAGAAGAGACAACAGTAAATTAAACTGTGGCTTACCCATGCAATAAAATACTATACCTTTCTTAAACATAAGATATATCTGAATGGGCGACCATAAAAGATCTAATGTAATTTACTAGCTTCAGAATCATAAAAATCTATCATGTCTACAAATGCATAGAAAAAGGCTGACTGATTAGAGGGCTGTTTGGGATGCCAGAAGGCCTGGGTCTCACATATCCAAAGCCATCGAATTCAAATGTTTTACCTTGTCTATACATGTGATCCCTACAATCTGGTGGAGACACACTGGTCTGACAAAAATAAGCAATTCATCAAGCAGTATTAAACATGGTGCCCACCCATGTTTCTTTTGAACAAGTTGATGTTCAGAAAATAGATTCTATAATTATTTCGAGGTTACAAAATTTTAGTGGTTTCCTGGATTTAGTATTAATTTGCTAAACAAAACCATCTGAAGTTTCCTGACACCTGTAAGGTTGGTTTGCAGTATTTAACTTTAAAAACAAAACAAAAAAAACCATAAGAAACCTGGAAAAGTGCGATTAGCAGGAGCCTCAATCAACTTGGAAAAGAACTGTCAGCATGTATATTTTTTCATACTGATCTGTTGCTTGTGCAAAAAAAGAAGGAAGAGGGGAGACCGGGAGGGGAATACGGGGGAGCAGGAGGGGTGTGGAGAAAGGAAGATTTCTCTGCATCACTCCCCTACAGGGTACCAGGTGTGGCTCGGAGGTGGCTCAGGAGTTTACACACTTCAGCTCTCCCCATCGATTTTGAAATGCCCGAATAGTGTTCCTTCCCCTTGGAGCCGGGCGAAGAGGAGCGGGGAGGAAGGAGGGAGGGAGGCGCGCGGGCCGCAGCCGCTCCGCCTGTCCCCGAGCCCGGTTCCTGTGCCGAGGACTCTTGTCCCTCTCGGCCTTGGTCGGTTCTGCCGGGCCTGGTACCCCGATCTTACTCCAGCTCCGACGACGGGTTCGTCTTGCCCGGACATGCCCGACGACACGTGAGCCAGGCACCCCCGCCGTGTCCCCCACTCTTCCTGCCCCTCCCGGCACCAGGCGCGCTCTTGCCGAGCCAGGAACCGCGGCGGGGACTCACCGGCAGGAGGGCACCGAGGACGACGAAAACAAGGATCTGGGGGGTCCGGAGCCGAGACCTGGCTCCGGGCGCCCGCCCGGGTCGTGGGGCGCGACCTGCCCCGGCCCCCGAAGCGGCCAGTGCGCTCTGTCCCTGCCTTCCCACGTCGTCAGGGAGCGCTCCTTGTCGCGGCCCCGCAGGTTTCAAGCCCCCGGAGTAGATCAGGAAGCGTCCGTGTACTTTGTCCGCACAGAAACGTCCCAGCATTTTGCTGGCTACGTGGCCTGGGGCTGCCTTCTGTCCCCACGCGCTACTCTACCGGGATCTGGCGCCAATGCCCGGAGCCCGCGGCCTCGCCCGGTTTTACGTCGGCTGGTGTTGCGCAATCCGTGCCAGGCGAATCGAATCGGGGATACCCTGTGCGTTTATGCAAAGTATGTCCTCAGACCACAGTGTTATTTAACTGTAAGTCTACAACAGAAAGATAGAGGGAAAACCGCAAAATACTTATTAAACCACACTTTTCTAAATAACACATGGATCAACGAAGAAAGCTCAACAGTTAAAAAAGAAATTAAAAAAAACTTTGAACTAAATGAAAATGCAATTTATCAAAATTTGTGAGATGCAGCAAAAACAGTGCTTAGAGGAAATGTATAACAATGGATGTATTAATCAAACAAGAAGAAAGATTTAATGACAATAATCTAAGATTCTACCTTAGGAAACCAGAAAAAAGAGAGGAAATTAAATCCAAAATAAGCAAAAGAAAAGAGAAAATAAATGAAAATTAGAACAGATATTAATAATATTGGAAACTGGAAGCCAATAAAACCAAAAGTGGTTCTTGGAAAAGATCAACAAAATTTGGAAACCTCTAGCCAGGTTAACTAAGAAAAAAACAGAATTGGTACAAATAACTAATATAAGAAAAGAATGAGGGGCCATCACTACTGATCCCAGGGACATTAATAAATAACAAAAGAATGTTATGAGCAACTCTAGACCCACAGAATTGATAATTTAGATGAAATGGACCAGTTCCTTGAAAGATGCAATCTACCAAAATACACACAAGAAGAAATAGATACTAAGAGAGGAGAAAAAATCATATAACATGCTCAATTAAAAGTGGTCTGGCCTAGGAGATAACCTTCCCAAACAGGAAGCACCAGGACAGGATGAGTTCATTAGGGAATTCTACCAAACATTCAAAAAAGAAATTACAATTGATCCTTGAACAATGCTGGGGGTGTGGACCAACCCCTCCCCCCAGTGGAAAATCCATTATAACTCCTCCCTCTTGCACTGCCTGCCCCAGCCACGGGTGCGGGTGCGGGTGGGCTCCACATCATTATGTAGTTGTTGGGAAGTAGTTAACTACTTAACTACTACTAGCCTACTGTTAGGTAGGCTACTTAACTGTTGGGGTAGTTATGTCATGAGCATATAACCAAAAATTTTACAATATATGCAGGTACCTCAAACAGTTCATAGGAAAATAAAATTAAAAGACACTACTAGTCTTTCCACAAGCTTTTTGAAGACCCCTCAAATTTATTGAAAAAATCATGCAGGTGATTAAAAATCATACAAGTGTATAAGTGGACCTGTGCAGTTCAAACCCATGTCGTTCAAGAATTTGCTGTACACCAATTCTCTACAATTTCTTCCAGAAAATAGAAGCAGAGGATATACTACCAAATTCATTCTATGAGGCCAGCATTACTGCAATACCAAAGCCACAAAAAGACATTACCAGAAAGGAAAATTACAAAGGAATATATCCTGTGAACATAGACGAAAAAATCCTTGGTAGAATTTACCAAATCAAGCAATAAAATGTATAAAAACAAGGATACACCGTTACCAGAAAGGAAAATTACAAAGGAATATATCCTGTGAACATAGACAAAAAAATCCTTGGTAGAATTTACCAAATCAAGCAATAAAATGTATAAAAACAAGGATACACCATGATAAAATCGGACTTAGTCCAGTTATTCAAGGTTGGTTCAACATTCAACGTGAATCACCACATCAACAGGCTAAAGAAGAAAAATCATAAGATCGTATCAATATATGCAGAAAAAACATTTATATCTATTAACGTGAATCACCACATCAACAGGCTAAAGAAGAAAAATCATATGATCGTATCAATATATGCAGAAAAAACATTTGACAAAACCCAACACCAGTTCATGATAAAAACGTGAATCACCACATCAACAGGCTAAAGAAGAAAAATCATAAGATCGTATCAATATATGCAGAAAAAACATTTGACAAAACCCAACACCAGTTCATGATAAAAAAAAAACTCTCAGCACTTTAGAATATAGGAGAACTTCCTCAACTTGATAAAGATCAACAAAACACCTAGAACTAACATAAGAATTAATGATGAGAAACGATGTTTTCCCAATAAAATAAGGAACAAAGCAAGAATATCCACACACACCATTCCTAGTAAACATGCGCCTGGAAGTCCTAGCTACTACAATAAAACAAGAAAGGAAAAAAAAATGTATATAGATTGGAAAGGAAGAAACAAAACCATCTGTGTTTACAGATGACATGATTCTCTATGTAGAAAATCTGAAAGAATTGCCAAAATAACCTCCTAAAACTAATAAACAATAATAGCAATGTTTCAGGATACAAAGTCCATTTATAACATTCAACCTCTTTCCTATATACCAGTAATAAACAAGTATAATATAAAATTAATAACACAATACCATTTACATTAGCACCTTCCCTCCCTCCAAATGATATACTTAGGTATAAATCTAACAAAATATATACAAGAAGTTACATGAAGAAAACTACAAAACTTTGATGAAAGAAATCAAAGAACTAAATAAATGGAGAGAAATTCCATGTTTATGGGCAGTAAGACTCAATATTACCAAGGTGTTAGTTCTTCCCAAATTGATGTATAGATCCAATTCAATCCCAGTCGAAGTCCCAGCTAGTTATTTTATGGATATCAACAAAGCAATTTTAAAGTTTATGTGGAGAGGCAAAAGACCCAGAACAGCCAACACAAAATATTGAAGAAGAACTAAGTCAGAGGAATGATAACCCAACTTAAAGAATTACTATAAAAATACAGTAATCAAAACAGTGTGGTATTGGTGAGAAAACAGACAAATAGATCAATGAAACACAACAAAGATGTGAGAAATAGACCAACCTAAGTATAGTCAACTGACCTTTCATAGAGAAAGAAAGACAACACAACGGTGCAAAGACAGTATTTTCAACAATTGGTGCTGGAACAACAGTACATCTAAGTGTGAAGAAACAAAAACAGAACAAGACACAGACCTTACACAATTCACAAAAATTAACTCAAAATGGATCATGGGCCTAAATATAAAACTCAAAACTGTAAAACTCCTAGAAGGTAACATAGGAGAACATCAAGATAACCTTGAGCATGGCAATGACTTTTTAGATACAGTATGAAAAGCACAGCCCATGAGAGAAATCACTGATAAGCTGGACATAATTAAAATAAAAAAACTTTTGGTCTGTGAAAGACATGGTCAAGAGAATGTGAAGATAAGCCAAAGACCAGTAGAAACTTTTTGCAAAAGACATGGCTGAAAAAAAACATGTTATCCCAAATATACAAAGAACTCCTAAAACTCAACAATAACAAAATGAAAAAACCATTACAACGTGGGTAAAAGATCTGAACAGATACCTCACCAAAGAAGACAGTAACAAGGATGGCAAAGAAGTTTATGAAAAGATGCACTATATCATGTGTCACTGGCACATTGCAAATTAAAAGCAACAATAAGATACCACTGCTCACCTATTAATATGGCAAGAATCCAACGTACTCACTAAACCAAATTCTGGCAAGGATGTGGAGCAACAGGAAATCTGATTTGTTGCTACTGGGAACGTAAACTTGTACAGCTACTTTGAAAGACAGTTTGGCAGTTTCTCACAAAACTAAACATTCTCTTACCACATAACCCAGTAATGACACTCCTTGGCAATTACCCAAATGAGCTGATATATCCACACAAAACCCTGTGCAGGGATGTTTATGGCAGGTTTATTCATGACTGCCAAAACTTGGAAGGAATCGAGATGTCCCTCAGTACGTATTATCTATGGTAAAACGAGATAATGGAATAATTTTTCAGCGCTAAAAAGAAATAGCAAAAGACCCAGGAAGAGACGTGGAGGAAACCTAAATGCGTATTACTAGGTGAAAGAAGCCAGTCTGAAAAGGTGACAAACCGTATGATTCCAACCATACGACACTCTGGAAAAGGCAAAACTATAGAAACCGTGAACAGATCAGTGGTTCACAAGGGTTATGGGGAGGGAGACATGAACATGTGAAGCACAGAGAGTTTGCAGGGCAGTGAAACTACTCTGATAGATACTGTAGTGGTGGATACATGTCATTATATGTTTGTCAGAACTCATGGGATGTACAGCACCAACAATAAAGCCTAATATAAACTATGAATATTGAGTGATAACGAGGTGTTGATGCAGGCTTATCCATTGTAACAAATGTACCACTCTGGTGGAGGATGTTGGTAATGGAAGAAGCTTCGTATGTGCGGGATGGGGTGTATGGGACATCTCTGTACCTTCTGCTCAGTTTAGCTGTGAACCTAAAACTTCTCTGTCCCATGAGAAGTCGCACATTTCCTGTAATTCATTGTTCACAAAAATGTACCAGAAGTTACTCGCAATCATTTTCTTGGCTGACAAACATTCAGTATGATTCGTGGCCACATGATTTATTTAACAGAGTCAGGAACTTTGTCTAAGTAGGGTGAAAGCTAGCATAAAACAAAGGACACGATAAACTGTGAAATGTCTCAAACCATCCTTATGCCAATTACCAATATCAATCACCCAGCAAGAAAGACACCCATCGAACAAATGCAGCCACATGGACTGTTATGCCTTCAACCTGGAGTTGCCAATAAGTTCTGTCCCATTAGAACACATTTATCCCTTCAGAAGAGAGGACATTAATTTGTAAACAGTGAGAAATGAGAGAGAGAGAGAGCATTGTATTTACTGCACACTTACTGTATGCCAGCTTAGATAGGGGCTCATAAATATTATGTTACCATTTGAAGGAGGTATTATTATCTAGCCCTGTCTATAAGAACATGTACAGAGAAGGAAACAGGTTCAGAGAGATTAAGTAACTCGCCCAGCATCACAAGGCGACTAATGGCTAGAAGCAGAATTCAGGAGTCAGATTCTTTCTG